CCTCCCGGCTCTTTCATCCAGTTTGGAGTGACATCCTGATCCAGGGAGGGTCTGTGTTGTACCAAATACCTTCCACTTCTTAATAATAGTCTTCACTATGCTTCTAGCCATTGATAAATCCTTTGAATTTTTTTTGTATTCATCTCCTGACTCCTGCCTATCCACAACTTTATCCCGGAGATCTTTTGACAGTGCCTTGCCACCCATAGTTGATTGTCTGCTTCAGTTGTACTACCAAGGACTGAAATGTTCCAGGAAAGCTCTTTGCATGCTGAGGGAATCAAATTATTATTATTATTATTATTATTCTGACATGTTGGTGTTATTGGTTGGTGTACTCATTTGCACTGAGTAAATACCGCTGGATAAAACAAAAACTAATTTCAGGCAGCAAAGCAACAAAATGTGATTATTTTAAATGGGGATAAATCTTTTCCACTGTAGTTGGCCAATGCTTGTCTGTTACTGACACAAGTTGGTTATTGCTGCAGGGAGATGTGTTTGACCAGAATGAAATTACTTTTGCTGGTAACCAACCTGTTTTACTAGTTATATGAGAATTAGGCTGTAGCTTTTTTCTTCAGGGCATCCTGATATAATCAGATGCAACTCAAACTTTAATTTCATCAGCTTTGTAAACCCAACTCTCAGATGTCACTGACATTCGTTTGATGTGGTGTTGTCATATTAGAGCACATAACATAATTTATCTTGTACACAAAAGCCATCTGTTTGCCCAACTGTCCCACAGAGCAGCTCGTGACAGGCATGTTTGCTACACCGTTCGCTTCAAACCTACTCAAGCACAAAATGTACAGAGTTTGAGAGAAACTGATGGATGACATACTAGTACATGGCAGAAAGCGCTCTCCCTTCATATCACCAGCAACTTCTGAGAGACAAATTTATCAGCGGTAATGGCGTGTAAGGTACTTTGGCCTTGTTCATGCCAAGTGGACTGTGTCTGAGAGTGAGAGCGGTCAGGAAGGAGAGAACGTCTCGGTTACGTATGGTAACCCTCGTTCCCTGAAGGAGGGAACGGAGACGTCACGTCGGATGACCGATGAAACATTGGCTCGTTTAGTTTACACTCGAAGTAGATTGGTCTCTCTAAGCGAGATCCCAATTTCGTCGGTCATCCGACGTGACGTCGAGAGTGACCGACTGGAAGGGAAAAGTTGTTCAGTGTTTTGTGGTGTGTGACAGATAGAGGTAAACTGGCCACTGGGGACCGCCAATGAGCTAATGTCGTTCCACCAGTCCGTGATTAATTGTAGAAAGGAATTCATTTCTCTAAGCTAACATCAACCTGGTTATTATGTTCTGATGACTTTTGCCCTTCATGATGGCATCAGAGTAAATGACAACTCTCTGATTTATCAATCAGAGCTGTCAAATCAGCAGCTGCTGTGGGTTTGTTAACCTGAACCCCTGTTGTCCTGAATCCGCCCTCGGTGGAGACTCTTAGACTTGTCATTTTATTTTTATTAGCCTATTCTGCGCTGTGGTTGGATTGTATTTGGATTCCAGAAGCAAAATGCCATTCACTTTATGTTTGTATCGATGTGGGTATGACATGATTCTATCTATGACTCTGTCTCATGCTCACCAAGGCTGCATTTATTTGATCAAAAATACAGTAGAAACATTATATTGTGAAATAAAATTACAAATTAAAATAACAGTTTTCTATTGTAATATATTTTAAAATGTAATTTTTCTTTGATTAATAGAAAGAAAAGAACAGCATTTATTTGAAATATAAATATTTTGAAATATTATATAGTAAATTACATTACTGTCACTTTTGATAAGTTTAATGCATCCTTGCTGAGTAAAAGCATTATTTATTTTTTTTAAAGAGCAGTAATGTATATATACTAACCAAATTGAAAAAAAAAAAAAAATTATAGCTTTGTGTCAAGTTTAGTAGGTCTCTTAAAATATCTGATAATTTGACATTTTTATGACAAGGCAAAGTTAGTACAGATTGTAAAATGTTGTGTGGTGTATCTACTCAAACACTTTGGCATGATATGAATTATAATCATAATACTTGTTTAAAAATCCTTTTTACCTTAATAAATATATTTATTCAAAGTTTTTTTACATGACACAGTCAACTGTTAAAAGCAGTGGTGGAAAGAGTACTAAAAAATTGTACTTAAGTAAAAGTATTGCTTCTTAAGGAATAATTTACTTGAGTACAAGACAAGTTCTGAAAAATAATATGACTCAAGTGAGAGTAAATAAGTAGTTTGCTGAAAAACTACTCAAGTTACTGGATTACAAAGTACTTCAGTATTATTTTTCTATTTTTATCCAAAACAAGGTGATGTGAACATTATGGAGCATTAAACGCTCTCATGTAATATCTGTTTCACATGTGAGATTAATAGAGGTATTGAACACGTTCTAGGAAATCCCTTATATGGACAAATGCATCAGATATCACTACAGCTGAATAACATGCAGATGTTTTGACTGATGAAACATGAAGACAATAAGCACACAATTGCGATGATATACCTGTGTTTATCTGTGTTCTTTAAGCCATTTTGGGTATTTTCATAAGAATGATGTATATAATGCAAGGCTAATCAACATAGCCTGTATCACAGTATAGAATTTTATAAAATAATATATTTTCTGTCTCATTGTGCGATAAGAAGCAACATAGAACCACAGAAGCAAGTTATTTCAAACACAACTGATGTTATATAGGGATTTTGGAGCAAAACATGATATTAATCTCTAATAAATTATCATGTTTGATGATATGCTAAGCAAACATAGCTATCCCTGTTGCCAGGAGTGATTGTTTTATGACTAATTTTGAAAAGTAATTCCACGTAAGATTATGTGAATGTTTATAAGAAGGACAAAAGCAAAGAAGGGTAAGTGAGAGGTTTGATCAAAGAAATAAGGGATTGAAACACTGTGAATAGAAAGGTACTAGTAAAAAAAGAATGTGGGGTATGGGTAAGGTTGGGCATCGTTTGAATTTTAATGATTTCGATTTCAATCCTGCTTATATCCTGATTACTAATTTCAATTCCAAAAAGCTTAGATATCATTCACATTTATTTTAAGTCTTATTGCAAAACATTTCATTGTAGTTGAATACTATGATCAACAACCTTTATCAGCCATATCACCCTGCAGTCCAAGACTGGTTGACCACTGAAGCTAAGCAGGGTTGAGCCTGGTCAGTACCTGGATGGAGACCTCCTGGGAAAAACTAGGTTGCTGCTGGAAGAGGTGTTAGTGAGTTTTCTGCTGATGGCCCGCGCTCGACTTGAAGCAGCGCTGCTTAGACCGATGGGTGTGTGTCATCAAAGTACTGCGAGAGCTATAAGAGAGCGCGGACGTCTCCTTATGCTTTCTCTCGCTCGCCGTACTTTGATGTCATACACCGATCTGATCTTCAAGTCGAACACACCTCTTTACTCTCGCCTGTCACGTGACCGTGTAATCGCAGCCTCTGCGATTGAAAAATCGAAATGTTTCATATCGCGATATTATCGCAAATGCAATTAATCGTTCAGCCCTAGTGCTCACCCTGTAGTCTGTGTGGATCCTAACGCCCCAGTATAGCATACCTGTCAACCCTCCCATTTTTCCCGGGATTCTCCCGTATTTTACCATTCTATCCCGCTATCATCCCGCTTAAATATTTTCCCGTATTTCTCCCATATTTTTAATCTTTCTGTAAAAAAATCCCACTGGTCGTATTTTATATGTTTGCTACATTCGCTTCCGGTAAAACTCACGTAATTTGTATGGCCCATCTCATTATATGAACAATCACGTCAACAAATTCCAAGGTTGTCCAGTTGCCAGATCTTGTATGAAACACATCCTTGTCACACAATCGACACATACAAATTTCAACCCATTTATCCCCTCAACTTGGCAACCTACAACCCAGTGATGCTATTGATATCTGCGCAGGTAGTACCGCGGGAAGGAAATAAGGATCACTGGTAGAAATGGGAGGAGAAGACTCAGGTGGTGCTCTGATGAAAAAAAAAATATATATACATCTAAATTGAGATATAGCTTACACTTCAAACGGCTATGGTTTAATTGATTAAATATGAGCGCTGCAAGTTTCAAAGTGAGGTGCTGCGCTGCTTTGTTTACTGCGGCTACCGGGGAAACGGCTATATTCCTGGCGAACCTGCTGGCAGAGAGTGAATTTGCATTTTTCAGTAAGCCCTTATTGACGCAGTTGACACGCAGTTGTAAATGTGAACCGGTGGATCTACAAGATAATGAATTATAAAACTCTAAAGATAAAGCCTACACTACATTTATATGTTACTAAATGAATATAATTATTTGATAATTGTTTAATATAATAAATTAATAATAATATAATATAATAATTGATACTCATATAATATAATAATTGAATAATTACTTTTGACTCCGCCCCCATTTTTGTGTGTATTTGTTATTTCAAATGCAAAAAGACATGGGAAAGGACTCAGTTCAGTATCACACTATACAGTATGAGAGGTGGCTTTCTGTGCGCACATCTTGGATGTGTGTGCAGCAGAGAAAACAGCACGCAAGTCTTCTTGACTTGCTTAGTTTAAAATCACATTAAACTACACTTTTAGTTTAATGTGTTTTGATTTGTTTTGCACCCGAGAGACCTGTTTGTTATTGCCTGAAGCGCAGGGCTTCACCCCAGTAGTTTGAAAAGTGCTCGTCAGACGCCAACTCGTCTTGTTTCTCGGCACCTTTGTCTATTTTGTACTTTGTACTTTTGGTGAAAAATAAATGTAACGAACTTGAATACTATTTTATTTTTATTCAACTCAAGTAAATGTAAAAGTGCCACAATTTAATTATACTTAAGAACGTATAATAAAAAAAAAATGTACTCAAGTACTGTAACGAAAGTATTTGTTATTAGTTACTTTCCACCTCTGGTTAAAGGGTTGCAACGTTTTAAATGTTAATCAATATTTTTCCATCTTTTTTTATAGGTTCTGGTCTGAATGATGGAGAATGGCATGATGTTCGTTTCCTGGCCAAAGAGAATTTTGCCATGCTGACCATTGATGGGGACGAAGCATCAGCTGTGAGAACCAACTCACCTGTCCAGATCACAACAGGAAGCACGTACCACTTTGGAGGTAAGTTCAGAAATTTACAGAGACCAAAACTGAGAATCCCAAAGTACCATGAGAATAGATCCTCAGATCTTTACACTCTCCCTGGTGCATTGGCCCCTGGCTTACAAAGGCCTTTGAATTTGTTTCTGCTGAAAGACCAGCACTAGAAAGGATTTGAGAACTTTTTTTCATTATACATGCATAAAAACACCCCTTTAAAGAAATCAGGATGGGCATTAATGCTGATATGCTTTTATGTTTTATCTCGTTTAATTGGAAAACGAAAGAAAATAATTGGCTGCCCAGATTAGTGTGAACGTTCTCCATTGTCTTTTAACTCTCATGAGGACCAGAGTGTCAAGGCGAAATGTCAGTACAGTTTTGATGTAAAAATGAATAAAACATTTATCACAGATATTACTTATTTAAAATTCACTTAAACCATAACAACGTCTTCTTGGAAAATCATTGGGCCTCATAATGTGAATGAGATAAAAGTAAAATGTGATCCAGAGCGTCTAAGCCTGATGGCAAAGCCTTCAAAAAGTTTGCTGGGCTTATCAATATTGTCAGAAGAAGATAGTGAGAAAATTAAGATGTTGTATTTGTAGTATTATTACAATTTAAAATAGCTGTTTTTCTATTTTAATTTATTTATTCATTTGATGACAAAGCTGAATTTTCAGCAGCCGTTACTCGTAATTTTCCCAACAAATCCTAGGTATGGTATGCAACCAACATGCCAGAAGAAGACAAACGTGTATAGTTGTTGAAAGTGATCCGTTTTCATGATTTTCCTCAGTCCAAAGACATCAGCTTGATGTATTTGGGTCAGGGGATCTGAAAAGTGATTTTGCCTACATCAAATTGTCTGAAGAGACAAACAGAACTCCTTCTGATAGAGTGGGAGGGTGCTGTGACCTTCCGTCCTCGTCTTTGTTTTTTAAGTTTTCGATCCAAAGTTGCATGTGCCACCACACACACATTAATTTTCCCCCCTTTGATGGAAACAAACCCATCCTGGTGCCATCTTCAGCCAGCCATCTGTCCGATCAGACCATTGGCAGGAAGTCAGAGATAAGAGCATGTTCAGCGGCTCAGAGAGGCAAATATGCAAAGGAATACCAGCAGCTGAGATAGACAACGGTGTCTGGCGCTATCAAACCTGTCTGTCTATTGAGGCTGAGGGATAACATGGTTATCCTTGCCGCTGTCGCCTCTGGCTTGCTTAGTTGGGGACACTTCATTTCCAGCGATATCGTTGACTTGATTGCAAATTATTGCAAAGATACTATTTAAACTGAACTGAGCTGGATGATGACCACTGAATTCAATGATGAACTGCCTTTAACTGAAAAATTAGTGTTTACTATTGTCACTTTGCATTATTGACACACTATTTTCCTAATTAATGTTGTACAGTTGCTTTGACACAATCTGTATTGTTAAAAGCGCTATATAAATAAAGGTGACTTGACTTGACTTGATAGCTTTATCAGACTCACACATCTTCAAAAACAGCTAAATGAGGTAGGAACTGCAGTCCCTTCGCTCTGGGTTTGGCACGGTCAGGCAGCACATTTACACATGACAGCTTCTAAAATGAGATCAAAAAGCTTCACTTTTCTTCACTGCGCTGCTGTTGGTTCACCTGCACTCTAACTATAATTATCAATCATGCTTCTCCATCCGTCACTGTTATTTTCTAGAGAGATGTGTCTGTACTGTCTGATTTGTTTACTGCTTGGATCTTTTTTTGAGCATAGAAAGACCTCCATATGGCCAAATATGAATATGCCATAGACTGTTAACATTGGGAATGACTGTAAAACACAGATTGAAACATATAAGAGCAATCAGTATAACAAACTGAATATTTAATTCCTCATTCTTGGGATAAATGTTTTCTCTGAACTGTCAAATCATGGTCTAAGAAAAAAAAAAAGTTGTATAAATTTTGAAGTCAAGTTCCTCAAATGTAATGTGTGTTTTTTTTTTTTTAATTGGTGGGGGCCCCACATTCAAAAATATATTTAAGCTAAAATATATTG